GTTTATCTACTGTGTAAGGCGGAACACATTATTTGTTTATACATTTGTTTTTGAAGGTTACACCATAAATGTGTGCTGATGATAAAAAGCCTTATCCAATCAATTAACTGATTAACTCTTGATCCATTTGAAATTCTAATGAAGCCTAAAGACTCATTGTAGAAATGTGATTTTAGTAAAAAGTTTGCATCCGCATGTTCACACAAAAAAAACAGGAAATCCCTTTTTAACATTGAGTACTCTTTTGGACTATAATTACTGTAGCACACATATTTCCTGGTCGGTCTATATAGACATTCTTATGTTTTCCTGCATGACAGCTAATAATCTGGCAAGTGCCATTCTTTATACCTTGTAATATGCCGAACATTTACAGTATGGTCGGGTTAACTCAGAAGCTGATCTAGCTTAATTTTTGGGTACCCGTTTTTGGCGTCTGGTAGCCACCCCCGACCATTGGAAATGTCTGGAATTTACCATTCATGATATCTTGAATTATGCCGAATATATTCTGATAGGTTTCATTGGGTTAATTCACAAGTTGATCTAGCTCGAATTTTTGGTACACTTTTTTATGCCCTTCCTGACCACACCCACCACAATGGGACCGGCAGATGCCTATTTTCCTACATAGACAGGCACATAGACCATTACTATACACACAAACATTGGTTAACTTTCCAGCTATGCTCCACTGGGCTCCTGCTGTAAACCCATTTTACCTTACTTTCACATACTGACCTTTTCCTAGGCAAGAGCCCAGGTACCCTAGGAGCCAGACCAGTGTATTGTGTGCAGAGAATTTGACTTCAGAAATTGGTTCAGGGCGGTCAAAGAATCATTTTTTGCTTGGTAACATATTTTCAAAATGTGGCAAAAGGTCAGGGTCAAAGCTATAAGGTCCTTGTATCTCCGCAACCACAAATTGTTCGGAACATGCATATTTCTATTTTTAATTTTGCTAAAAAATGACCGGAAATGCCATTTCTGACCTTTGACATGCTTCAAGGCCATAGCTATATGGTCCTTATATTTCCGCAACCACTGGTGGTAGAGAGTTAATTGTGGTGTCAATTTGTTCGGAACATTAATGTTTCTATTTCGTCTAATAAATGAGTTTGCTAAAAAATGACCGGAAATGCCATTTCTGACCTTTGACATATTTTATATAAAATATAGCCATTGAGTTGTGATTATCTCTGCAACCACTGTTGGTAGAGAGTTAATTTTGGTGCCAATTTGAGGCATGTCGTGGCAAAATGGTTAAGTTGACTTCGCACAGGCCAGTATTGAGTAAATAAGCTTTAAAATATAGGAACTCAAAAAATCAACAGATTAATGTCTTATTAATCATGTCCCAAAGGATTAGTTCTGGTGGTCAACAAATTGTTTATTTAATTAAGTTATTTTGATAGTTAATTCTATTAAACAATGTATGCACAAATAACTTTGAAAGGTAATTACTCAAAATCATGTTTATCTTGACTGTAAGAGTGCTGTACTTTCATTTTCTAATATCTTAGGCTTGAAATGTCCATTTTCAATAAATGACCCCCTCATTTTAAAGATCACATACTCAGGTATCTGAAAATACCAACAACTTGAATTTCAATTTTTGCTACAACTTACCCATTTTGCCACAACATGCCTCATTTGTTTAGAACGTTCATGTTTCTATTTGCTCTGATAGAACAATTTGCTAAAAAATGATCAGAAATCTGTTTCTGACCTTTGACATGTTTCAAGGTCATAGCAATATGGTCTAATATCTCCGCAACCACTGGTGGTAGAGAGTTAATTGTGGTGACAATTTGTTCGGAATATTCATGTTTCTATTTGGTCTAATAAATGAGTTTGCTAAAAAATTACTGAAAATGCGATTTCAAAACCTTTGACATATTTTATATATGATAGCCATTGAGTCATTATTATCTCCACAACACTGGTGGTAGAGAGTTGATTTTGGTGCCAATTTGTTTGGAACCTCCATGTTTCTATTTACTCTAATAGAATTTTTTTTCTAAAAATTAGTGGAAATGCCTTTTCTAACTTTTGACATGTTTCAATCTGGGGTGGCGCCAGGATTTGCCCGACAGGCGAGGTCCCCGAAAGAGGGGCCGATTCCTCCAACGAGGGGTCAGATTTCCCCGCTGAAAGCAAAGTGGGCGTGGTTGAGCTTCGATTAAAAGGTCTTGAAGGTAGTCCAGGGGACATTTTTTAAATACACAAATTTCTATGTTCAAGTTGACAACTTTTATGTTACTTCAAAATAGGCAAGTTAATTTCAAAAAATATTTTTATGTTTTTTTTGGTATTTAGCAAGGGACAATACATCTTTATTGTATACAATAATACCACATTCTTCTGCAAATTACTGAGTTTAACATTTAGTGATGGTATGCTTGTTTATGTCTCACTGTTTTTTTTTTTATAAAATTATAATTTTATATATTTATTTGTTAATAATATTTATTATTTTTATGATTACTTTGAGCTAGCCATTAGGTTTGTTTATAATATTATTCACATTATTAATTTAGTTGCATTGCGATCAGTTCACCATTTTTGTATTGTATGTAAAAATAATATCATAATTTTTTTTTTTCACAAGGTTGATTGTCTAAATTTTACCTCAAGCCCACTCATGTACTGTAGTATCCAATCGACATGCAGTAAATAAAAGCATGTTATGATTTAATTCAAATTGGGTGACGAACTGGATATTCTCTGAGCTGGTATGACTGTTAAGAAGGTAAGAACTGAAGCTAGTAGTGAAACTGCAACTATTATTGCTATTGAATAATGATGTAATATTATTTAGAGCAAACCAATCATTTAATAGTGATTTCCCTATCATCAAATATTGTTAATTATATTAGGTATCTTTATTCAAAATAAACTTTTTCGTAGCAATTTACAGAACTGAATTGAGAAAAAATTAACAAAAAAGTACATTAAACCATCCTGTTTATTCTAAATATTCATTCAAATTGCTATTGTGATTATTATTTAATTATTAAAATAATTATTTATTACTATATATAAGTATAACGATTATTACAATAGATTAATACTGTATATTGGTAAATTATTTTATATTGGCTAAAATATTTTAATCTATTTTGTGTAAATATTTGTTTAATAAATGTGAAGTTTATAAGCATGAAAATAAGGCCCATACACCATGCACCTTCTCCCTTTTCCACTGGTTATTGAATAAAACGATATAACTTTCTGGTTTGTTTTCTTCATCCAGGACTGCTTTAAATTTAATATCATCTATTTGGTCTTAAGACTGCAACATGAAGCATAACCTGTCACCAACTATTCAGGAGGGCAGTTCTCTAAACCTGGCAAATTCAAATAATAAAGTTAGCCCAGAAGGCTACGTTAAAAAGGAAAAGGTTGTAAATGCTCTCGCAAGGAGGCCTCGCAAACGAAGAACTTCTGGAAGCACTGTCAATTTATTGGACAATGAGGTAATATTGGTACTTAAAAAATTTCATCAGTGGCATTTACACAATTTCAAAAATACATTTTCTGTACATTCATTGGGTAAAATGTTCGTTTGGCGTAGTAGTTTCCATCCTGGTTATTGAACTTGTGGTCAGGAGTTTATAAACCACATTTCTTGGCCCCGCCATTCTTATGCCCCTTTCCCACATTCACGATTTTTGCTACGATAGAGCAATATTATTCAATTTTGAAAAATCGCAATGGCGTCATCATTAATGTCGTGGTCAAAAATAATTCATCGTATTGCATCGTACTGTATCTTGATGTCATCGTAATGGAGCACGATTTTTTTGGAATGTTAAAAAAAATTGTGCTCAATCGTAGCCGTGAAAAAGATCTTGGTCTACCGCAGCGGCATCGTGTGGGTGGCATAACATTGTCGTCGTTTGTCGTGACTGTCTTGTCCATTCATACTACCAACAACTCCTACGACAAGCCAAGACATCGCTGCGGTGCTGAGACGATTAGATACGATGCCACCAGGACCATCAAGACAGTGGTTTATATTACGTGACTCTGTGTCAGAAAAGTTTTTCAACACACTGAACAATTCCTTGCTCACTTGGAGGAAGTTTCTGAAGCCTCTTCGGTCTTCTCTATTCAACTCTACTAGTAAGTGTTCATACTGTCTAAAATATGGACGACGTAGGAGCCATGGCTGTACCCATACACTTCGTTTGCCTATGCATTCGACGTGACCGACGCTTACTCTTGATTATCAAAACTGTAGCAGCCAACAAATTTTCTTCTTCTATAGCAGCAGCTTTCAAATATTGATGGTGTTTCAACAGTGCGCTTTTTTGTCATGTCATGTGATGTTTGTTTTTGTGATGTGCGTCTTGTTAAATCATGCTAACGTCGTGCTTGCATCGTTGTAAAATCGTAGTGACGTCGACTTTAAAATTTTTGTAATCTGTAGTACGTCGTCACAAATCGTAACTCTATCATTATAATTCGTAAAAATGTCGTCGCACTATCGCATTAGTGCCGTAATACATCTTGATGGCATCCTAGTAGCGTCTTGATGAAATGTAAAACTTGAACTTTTTGAGTATGAATCACTACGATAGAGCGCGATTTTAAAACTTTTTAAAATCGTGCTCCATCGTTACAAAAATCGTGAATGTGGGAAAGGGGCATTAGACTTGCATTGTTGACAGGTTGTAAAGAGGCTCAAGTGATGTTTCAGTCCCAGGTGCAAGCATTTCATGGTATGTAAATATAGTACTTAATTAAGTAATCCCTTACCTGGAAGTGGCTTTTGGGCCTTGTTTGAGGTGATTTCAATAATTAAAAAAATGTCATTTACATCTAAATGCAAACTTTTGACTGAAAATTATTCAACATGCATTGGTTTAATAATATTAATGATATGCCATTTAACAGTATGTAGGACTTGAAGCAGTCTCTGCTGTAGGCCCTGGATGTAAAAAATCTCAGAACACGTCTGCTCCGAGCTGGTTCAGTCGTGATCAATTCTGAGGTGATTTCCTCCAGTTATTTTTTCAGATAAAAATCTTTCCTCTAACTAAAAATACTGATTAACTATTTAAACCAACTACCGATTTAATCAATTTGTGGTTAGTGATATTTTTCTTCAGTACTGTAGACCTACCTTCAATAAATTCAGTTTTGGTTTGTACAAAACAATCTATGTAAATGAATGTTTATGGTACTGTACACCTAGATACTGGTTGAAATAATACTATTGCTTTATTAATGACATAAACAAACCATCACATCATTTAGGATATTTGAGTTTAGCGTCGATTGGCATGTAAGTGAAACCAGAAGTGAGTCAGGGCAACATAACAGGAAATATTTAGCTATGAAGTACAGTAGTGAAGTATAGTACACAATCCTTGGTTATTACTTTACGGTAGATATAGTGTTAAAATGGAGGAAGAATTTGAAGTGGACTTTGATGACCTGGATGAGTTGGAAGAGGTTAGTTAACATATTTGGGAATTAATGGTTTCTCACATTGTCTCACTATCTAACTTTGGTTTTTTCATGCCTGAGATGATTTCTTTTCTTTTCTGTCATGCCTGTCTGACTAAGTTATTTCTTGGACAGAAGGTAAAAGTTTAGGCTTGTCATGGTATTTTATCAGTAAGCAATATGTTTACACACAGTGATGATATTACGTTGAAAATGTTGGATGAAGAATTTGAAGTTGCATTTCATGAGTTTGAAGAAGAGGTTGGTCAAAATATTTCTAATTTGGCTTTTCACCTTTTTTCACGGCTTAGGGCTATATTTTACAATTTGTTTTTGTTGACCAAAGTCTTAATAGCAAATTGAACAGTAGTAAGATTTCGTGGCCTGAGAAATCTATATGTGTGCGGCTCACGTACCATCTTTGGCTAAAAACTCCCATGATTTTATGGCCCGTCACCAAAAATTCTGTAAAAAACTGACCATAAAGTATGCATGAAGTTTTATCTGGAAATGTCCAAGTATGAGTGCAACTTACTTTGGCCCTCCTACCCATTTTTATGCGAACCCGAGGCTTAATAAAGCATCGCATTGATAGGCCTACCATAGGTTATCCTGTCATGCCTGTCTGTTTTGCCATTATTATGGTATAGATTATTTTTATTTTAGTATTGTAGACATTTTGCTTTCATATGTACAGTATATATTTTATAATCTTTGTTTAAAGTCTAATAATTATGTTATTTATCTATGCTATTTAATTTTCTGTGTGGACTTGCTTTTTTTTGTGATGATAAAACCCATGTATGTAATATTGTAAGGTTTCTCATGGCCATGATGAAAAACAGTCATGTATATTTGTTGATTGATGATCACTTCATGAATAAAGTTTTACTACTTATGAACTGAAGGTTAAAGGTTTAAACACATTATTTTACTATCTGCAAGCGATGTGTTCCTACTCAATGATAATGTGTTTAAAATGGCGGACAAGGAATTTAAAGTTGCATCATAATTAAAATTTTGTCAACAGTAAATGGGTCCAAACTAGAACCCTTTTTTGGCACAAGACCCCCTATTAAATGTGAATGGATTTGATGGGCAATCAGGGGTGAACGGATTAATACACCACTGTAATCTTTAAAATTATCAAGATATTTTTAAAATCTGTGCTAATTTGGCATGCATTTACAAATTTTTTTAAAAGTTGACAGCCCTTTTTACATACCTGGGATGATTTCTTGAATTTCCAAAGTAGTTTTTGATGATCAGATTTTTAACAGGATATTATGTAAGAATAAGAGGAACTGTTGCCTCTCATCCTGTCTTTTGTCTGTCTGCCAAATTTTTCTTTATACTGACATTTTAAGGTTTTATATACTCCTATGTCATTCTACCTGCAAGTAATACTGTGTTCTGTACACAAAGTGATACTATTGTGTTGAAATATGGATGAAGAATTTGAAGTTGTGTTTGAAGTGTTTGATGAATTAGAAGATGAGGTTGGTTGATATATTTCACATTGAATATACAGTAGCTTTCCAACATTTTTCTTCCTGTAAAATGTCTTAGTTTTAAAGAAATTAATTTCCATGCAAGATTTTATGTAACAAAGGAACTTTTTACTAAAGGTGGCTTTTTTTTACTAAGGTAGAATTTGAGCATGTAGCACTGATAAATGACAGGAGTTATGAAACCATTATTTATTAGTGGTCAGAGTCATCATGTATGTCTGTAATTGTTTTCTTATCTGGAAAAAAAATAAATAAATATTTTGGTCTCTCCAGACTACAAACTGTTGGGCTAGACTACAGATAACATTTGGTGCTGGAGACATTATATCAAAGCTTTTTCCGTGTTTGGACACAGAAGTAATTTATTTTTTTCAATTTCAGGAGTTAAAATACTCGTATTCTATTCTGGATGACTAATCAGTGGATCATCTGGTTATGTTTAGGTTTCTTGAGTTTTAATTTCTATGAATAATTATATAATATAAATATAATAAATTTCTGTTTATTGCTCACAATCTTTTCTATCTTTGTTTAATAAATGGAATGAGATTAGATCACTTTGTAAAAATGATGTTTCCTGCACACTTGCTGTAGATTTGATTTTCTTTTTTCTAAATCATAGCGGCTGTAAAGCGACGCTTATAGTACTAGCTTAATGTTCACATCATTCCACAAAGACAGGGACTGAAATGAATATCGGGGTAACCCCCTAGGCCTACTCTTTCAAAAGATGTAATGAGTTCTTTAAAGTGCACACGAGCCAGACGTACAGTACACTGGACCTCTAGTTCTTATAAAATTACAAGACTTGGTTCTACAAACCTCACCTCAACCAGTGCTGATGTAAGGCTGTAGTTGTGGCACCCCTCCCTTACCACTCACCCTATTTATTTCAAATTTATCCTTTCAGTGCATACTGTATTGTAGTATGATCTGACATTGGCATTGATTCCTGGAAACAATAATTAATATTATACAGTAGTGAAAACAAGCAAATATCGATAGGATATTTTCCAGGAGATCATGCTTGCTTATGCGGGAGGCCGTCTCGATTTCCGGGGGACTCCTGCGATTTGGAATAACTGGTAGTCACTTGTGTACATGACGTAATTAATGGTGGATATTTTTTTATTGAGAGATATGTTGGTGGCTACAGACTGGCAAGGTTTCAGGAAATGGGGAGTCTTATTAAAGTCACAAGTGTATTAATGGGAAACAGGATGTTAAAACAAGCTGATCATTGTTGACCCATCAAAAGAACTGTTCATCATATGCTGTCTTTGATTAAAAACTTGTTCATGAAAATATAGTAATTAGTTGTTTTGTATAGCCATGGATTTTTTTATTCATTTAATTTAATTTTTATTTTATTTCATATCTCACCCACAGCGGGTCCAACACTTACAGAATGAAGAATAAAATATAAATGTAAACTTAACTTAATAATTGAAATATTCAAAGAATTAATTTTGTGTTTTGTGTGTGAAGTGTGAGTATTGTCTTTATAATAATTATTTTTAAAGTTTTAATGTAAATATTGTGTATGTTTTTAATAGCATATTCAGGGTTCCTGAAATACAGTAGCTATCAACATAACACCAAGTTGCTTAAGGCTTCAGTCCAAGGCCCCATCTGGGCTGCATTCCTAACCTTGTTTGAGGACCTATTAAAGCCCATTCTTTCACCTTTGCTGCCTCAGAACCCAGAGTCACTTATGGTGGTCCTGATTTAACATAAACAAAATGAACTATACTGTACTGCAATAACAGATTATTATAATAGGTCCTATTAAAATGAAACAAGCCTGATTTCTCTGATCTTCAGTTGGAATGTGCATTATTGTCCATACTATAAACTTTGTGGAAATTGTTTAGTCAATTGAAGTTTATGGTTTCATTTTGATTTGTTATGATTGTTGTTTCACTTTCCAATGTGGGAAGAAACCTTGACCTGATAGATTTTAATTTAAGTATACAATTAAGCAATTTAATATACAGTAGAACTTCTATAGTATTCATAACTGTTGGACCTAAAAAATGTGCCCTTTATAGTGGTATCCCTATTGAGGGGACACTAGCCAAAAACATAAAATTTTCCCCTTAATAGGGGTTTTTGACATGCTGTCATACTACGATAAAATAGATCTATATGATTTTATTTCAGTTGACCTACAGTAATCAATCAATCAATCAATCATTCCATTTACATGGCGCCATGTTTCAACAGTCGTTGCTCGTCGTGCCGTTCCAAGAAAGAGATTAAAAAAGGTACATTTTGAATAGTAACCTAAAGCTATCAAGTGAAGACTGTTAAATGTTGACAAGAAGTTATTCTTATATGACCTCTCCAGCTATGTTTGCTCTTGGACGTTAGAATGTGTTCAGGGATGGATCCAGGATTTGAAAGGGGGGGGGTTCAAAATGTTCCCAAAAAACCCAAAAATGAAAGTGGGGGTCAGGGGTCCTCCTCGGTGAAAATTTTGATGGTCAGAAATGAGCTTTCCTGACTTCTGTGTAGTCTTTTAATGACCTTACGTACTTCAAAATTCAAGGTTTCCGCCCTCTTGAAGAAAAAGGTCATTTAATTTTATCTCATTCTTTAGGCCTATAGAGAAAAAAAAATCAAAGACATAGGCAATATATTATTATATTCCAACAATATTGAGTAGTTAGATACTGTATGTCTTTCTTCTATGGATCGATGAACCGATAGGCCTAAAGAACGCACTTTCATACATAAATTATTACGATGTCGAAACAAATAGTGTGTTAATTGAAGACTAGTTGGGCTAATCCTAGTTTGTCTGATCTGCCAACCTATGCCTAGGTAGGTTAGCATGCCTTTTGGAAGCAAGGACCCAGTTCTATTTTGTCACGTTTCTTCACAGAGGGGGGTTCGTCCGTACCACCTAAACTCCCTGGATCCGCCACTGGTGTTACAGAATTAGAACTAATTTATAGCAATAATTTTGCAATGCAAATACAATTCATCAACCAAAACAAAAAACTGAAGTTGTATATTGTTCCTGATATTCTTTCCCTCACTCAAGTTACTGTTAAACTAAATAAATATTTAGGTTGTTCTTTGTTTTTTGGTTTTTTTTAAAATATTAAGCTTTCTATTGGATGCTCATGATAGCCTACAGTTAGCATGAATAGATTAAATGACTTAGAAGTCAGGCTTACTGTATGTACACTTTTTTTATAACACGTTTTATAAGAAAGGCTGAAATTGCTTAAAAGTTAAGAACAAAATGAACAAATTGAGGCTGAGGTACAATGCCAAAATAAGTTTTTATTTTTCTTTAGCGCTGATGAGGAGCTCTAAGAATAACACTGTTCATTGTGTGCTTTTTGCTGAGTGAGCCCATGGTTTTTTCACGGCTGAGTGGGTTTCAGCAAGGACTGTTTATTACTGACATTATGACTTTTATACACGTCGTATGGATGGCGCGGTTGGTTTAACCGTGCTATCCATGCGACGGTTCCATGCATTTGATTCTAAGGAACCAAAGGCTGTGAGTTCAAATCGCCCCTTGTTTTCAATTTTTTCCCTCAATTTTAAGACATTTTTTTTTTTCAATTTAAAGACATTTTAATTTTGTACAAATTATTTATTCTAATTATTTAAACAATTCTCTCTTATTATGAAGAGCTCTCTATAGAAGTACTCAGCTGATTGATTGATTAATTAATTCCTGATGATGATCTAATAAAAGATTGAAATATTGAGTCTTAATTACTTTATTTTGAGTATGTTTATACTAAGTTAATATCTAAAACTTATCAGTGGACTTAATGGTTTTTAATTAATTAATTAATTACTGTAATAGATCTTTCTTTGTGAAGTGCGCTACCAATACCAAGGACTGTACATACTGCCGATACCAGTAATAGCCTAGTTGTAGCCATGTTGTATACATGGCGCAGTTAGTTAACGATATGTTCTACTGAACCGAAGGTTGTGAGTTCGAATTGCGTCTTGCTATTCAATTTTTTTCTATATTTTAGGAATTTTTTTTCAATTTTGACACATTTTAATTTTGTACAAACAAGAGAATATTCTAATTATTTAAAAATGTCTATCTTTTTATAGTAGCTCTTCTAATTTTTTTTGCCAAACAGCTCAAATATCTAAGAATGTTAATTATCCAAAAAAAGAAAAAATTAAACCATGAGGCGCAATTCGAACTCAGACCTTCAGTTCCTTACAACACAGGGTTAACAAATTCATTTATATGACGTGTCCTGTTAGTGGTTAGTTGCAATTATGAACCCGTGCCGAAAACCCAATAACTTACGCCAAGTTGTGCAGTATTTAAGCATGTTCTAATATACTCTACTGCTTCTATTATACTGCTGTACCCTCATCGGAGCTTTCGAGATTACGAGAACTTGTGTAACTAGAAAAACCAAAATCTATCTGTACTGTACCTTATGTGTACTGCCCTGTCATGAAAAATTCACTCAAATGCATTTAACAAAGTTCTGAGATAATCAACAAAACGTGTTATTGTCTTCGCTCTCTCCATGCGTAAATAATTGAATCCTTATTTTCACATTATTAAGAGGTTTTATAAGTACTGTTCATTGTGTAGAACTTGTATTTTTAATTACTCTATATAATATGCAATATGTCACATTTATTGTTTTTTCATGACATACCGGGTCAATCACATGTAAGAAAAACACGAAAGACTCACTCAACTACATTCGTCATGAAAGAATCAACTCAACTTACAGTATTTATTGAATATAAAAACATGTTATATTATTAAATAATATTAATTTAAGATTATAAGTGATATCAACTTTTGTGAGTAAATTTAGGGTTAGGCCTATTTTTTTACTATGATGGCAGAGGTATAGAATAGAATACAGAAGCACGCATACTCAATATAGCACCCTGTTTATGATTGTCTAATCTAGGCCTGTGATTGTTAGGCTTTAAATATTTTGAAGATTGCAGATAATTAAATTTAAATGTAACTATGTATAAGTAAAAACACCACAAGGCACTTTATAAAGCAAGTAATAGACTTTAATCGTGATCGCGGACTCATTGAGCCCGATCGTATAGCAAACATGTTTCGAGAAAACGATTCTCATCATCAGTGCGAAAGATAACAAATTTTGCCAAAGCTTATATGGCTTTATACTCGTGTATGTAAATAAGCAGATTAGCAAATAGAAAAACGACTAATGAAGCAAACCACAAAACGTAGCCAACCACCCGTCACTGCAGATTGTTATGTAAATTAGTACAATCAAACAGTGAGCGTGATATTCAAGTTGTAAATTTGCTTATTAAGGGATGGATTGTTCCAGGTAATATGCAAAGCTTCCTTAATTTTGAGTTTATGAGCTGAATCTGCAGAGTCAAGAACGGTGAAACGCTGAAGTGTTCTTGAACTCGTGTTGAAAGTCTTCTATTGGTTTCTCCAATATACGTGGAATTACATCCCACACAAGTAAATTTACTTGTGTGGGATGTAATTCCACGTATATTGGAGAAACCACTGATAGAAGACTTTCAACACGAGTTCAAGAACACTTCAGGGACGGGAATTCTCATATTTTTCTCCAATATATTGGTTTCTCCAATATATGTGATTGTGATTGATATGCAATTGTATTTGTGGGAATTTCTGGCATTATTTTCGGACAATGCTCTCTTTATTTTTTGTTTTCAAGGAATTCTCTGTTTAGTCGTCTTTTATCATTTTAAAAAATTGTTTTTTATAGTTTCCTTTTTCAGAAATTCATCTTATTTTGTCATTCACATAAAATTGAATATCAAGCAGAAGAACAATATATGTTCAACTGTATGCAATAAATAAATATAATAATAATAATATTAGGATAATAATAATTAAGTTAATAAGTTAATAATAATAAGCTAAATATAGGTAAAAATAATATCATAGGTAATAAATAGTGCCCTATAATAATCTATCAGAGCGATATTAGACACTAAATGTATTAAATAAAAAAAGACAAATTAAATAAGAAAAGATGTTTTTTTAGGAGGTCCTTAAAAAACGTCAAGAAATTTCCTCCTTAATACATATTGGCTGGTTCCATAATGGTCCCTTGCCAGAAAAAAGATCGATATCCATATTCTGCTAGTATGAATAATGCCAAAAAGAGTATGAGATAATGTTTCCTTAATACCAATATTGTGCATCCATGAAGATATTGTTTATAATGATTACATTGTGAAAGTAATGTTATATAGATTAGACAGTCATCTTTCTCAATGATAAACAATATGCAGCACTAATGCAGTTGAGTGGGTTTCTCATGATAAACTATTACATAATAGGTATTAAATGCAGTTAAGTCCTTCATAAGATTTGCAGTTGAATCATGGACCTATTAATATTAGTCCATGGTTGAATGCATCTTTGCTGACAGAAGTTGTAACACAGACTTACAGTTGAGTGATATTTTAGTTTTTAAATTTCATATTTTCCGTTATAATTTCAAAAATCTGAAAAGTGCCCAAAAGTGCAAAACGCTGAAAAGTACCATTTTGAAAAAATTTCAGTTGAGTGGTTTTTTTCATGACAGGGCAGTGTTGTAGTCTGACTATGTAATACTCTCAATACAGTAATAATAATTTAATTTACTCTTTGGAAAGTATGTAAAAAGCAAAATAAATATAACATTTTGAGCCTGAAACTGGCCAAAAAATGAGAACATGGTCCTGGGTTGATTTCACTGGCTCAATCACCGAGCATAGAGGTTTTTTGCATGATGCGCTATGCAAATTCAACAATAATTATTATTATTATAAAACAAACAAAAAATTTAATATTAAACTTTTAGGGTTGTTTCCTTAAGTAGGGTATCTCTCTTTAAAGTGTGGGCTTTAGTGAAATTAAATGATATTATTTATTGTGTTATAGCTTTGTATGGAAAAGTACAGTATCCATTGAAGAGGTGTCCCAAAGGAGGGGTTCTTCTATTATTTCATTTAAATTTTATTAGATTTAAGACAGTGCCATGGCCTTATATATTTAAGTGGCTGGTGTCCAAAGATTATTTGCTGTAAATCGGTGAAAATATAATTTTTTTTTTCAATTTGTGTCTTGCAAAGAGATTGTAGATTGTATCAGACAGAACATATTATATGTACTTCATTTAGAAACTACAGTATAAGCCTATAAGTAAAAGTCTAGAAATTATTACTCCTTGGAAGGAGAGTGGGTGGGGGATGGGGAGTAGGTGGGTGGAGTTGGAGAGATGATAATTAGGCCTATGCTTCTTTTTCTTGCCAAAGTCTCATTATGATTATTAATCTTAGTGACTTGAAAATACAATAAAATTAAAAGTGAATGCTAGTACAGTATAGCTGATCCCTGATCAAAATATCTCAGGCATGCTTTTTTTTCTGCTCACTCTGTTGCAAATCCTATAGGATTAAATACCATCAAAGGGGACACTGTGAAGGTATACCATTGTGACTAATTGCATGCATCAGTGGTTTTCCCTCTCCAAAGTACTGCTGCAGCCAATCCGTAGCTGCTAAAAGTAATTGATGTTGTATGGCTAAGTGTCCTGCCCTGTGAGCTGTATGATTATGGTACATTGGTGATGTTTTAAGTTCCACACCTAAGAGGAAGAAAGCATGATCAATTATTGTCATTTAAATTGGTACAATAATTGATTCTCTGTTTACCAGTCTTTACACAAATTTAATGAATTGTTAATAATACCAGCAGTGCATTGGGAGTGATTCAACTGTATTTTAATATAGCAATGAACCCTTCAACAAATGCAGGTAGTGTTAGTTACTCACATGTTTCAGCACTAATGGATGAAGACATGGAGGAGATCCAGATTGTCCCAGTAAAAGAACCACTTGAAAGGCTACCTTCTGGTGGCTATAGTGTCAGACGTCAAAAGTCTAAAGGAGGTACATTTAAAAGGGAGAGCAAAATACCAGTAACACTTGACGAGGAGGAGGATGTAAGTACATAATTTGTAAGCTAAAATTGCTGCCCAAAAAAATGTGTTCAGTTCAACTTATTAGCATGTGGCTATATGAGTGAAGGTTGGTTGTTGTATTGTACAGGTACTGAAATTCTGTTGTGATTATATTTTGTAAGCTGAAATTTGCTGCCCAAATGAGTTCAGTTCAACTTAGCATATGGCTGTTATGAGAGGTGGTGGGATGTTGTATTGTACTGAAATCTTGTATGTTGTAATTTTATTTGTTGAGGTGTTATGAGAAAAGGACAGGTGGTGCATTAGTGCACGTGCTCTCCAGATTTCAAAATTACAGCCCTGCCCCGGATTTTGAGCCTTTAAGATTATTGTATGTAGCTGTTTTAAGTATAAATGTGGTTAATTGCTGCGAAGCAGCCAATTCATATTCTTGACAGCAATTTGACCTCTGAAAGGTCATTGTTTGTCAAAAATCAATCGCCTGAGACAACTGAAAAGCGGAGTTTGCTTCTTTCGTTCTGCCGCGTAAAATCAATTACTTTAGGCGACGTTTGTAGACTAACCTACTCGTACC